CTGTAATGATCTGACACCTGTGTCTGTAATTTGTCTGTAATGATCTGACACCTGTGTCTGTAATGATCTGACACCTGTGTCTGTAATGATCTGACACCTGTGTCTGTAATGATCTGACACCTGTGTCTGTAATGATCTGAATGATCACCTGTGTCTGTGATCTGACACCTGTGTCTGTAATGTTGTGACACCTGTGTCTGTAATGATCTGACACCTGTGTCTGTAATGATCTGACACCTGTGTCTGTAATGTGTCTGTAATGATCTGACACCTGTGTCTGTAATGATCTGACACCTGTGTCTGTAATGTGACTGTAATGATCTGACACCTGTGTCTGTAATGATCTGACACCTGTGTCTGTAATGATCTGACACCTGTGTCTGTAATGATCTGACACCTGTGTCTGTAATGATCTGACACCTGTATCTGTAATCAATAGACACCTGTGACTGAAATGATCACACACCTGTGTCAGTAATGATGTGACACCTGTGTCTGTAATGTTGTGACACCTGTGTCTGTAATGATCTGACACCTGTGTCTGTAATGATCTGACATCTGTGTCTGTAATGATCCGACATCTGTGTCTGTAATGATGTGACACCCGTGTCTGTAATAACGTGACACCTGTGTCTGTAATGATCTGACACCTGTGTCTGTAATGTGTCTGTAATGATCTGACACCTGTGTCTGTAATGTTGTGAAACCTGTGTCTGTAATGATCTGACACCTTTGTGTGTAATTTTCTGACACCTGTGTCTGTAATGTTCTGACACCTGTGTCTGTAATGATCTGACACCTGTGTCTGTAATGATGTGACACCTGTGTCTGTAATGATCTGACACCTGTGTCTGTAATGATGTGTGTCTGTACACCTGTGTCTGTAATGATCTGACACCTGTGTCTGTAATGATCTACCACCTGTGTCTGTAATGATCTGACACCTGTGTCTGTAATTTGTCTGTAATGATCTGACACCTGTGTCTGTAATGATCTGACACCTGTGTCTGTAATGATCTGACATCTGTGTCTGTAATGATCCGACATCTGTGTCTGTAATAATCTGACACCTGTGTCTGTAATGATCCGACACCTGTGTCTGTAATGATCTGACACCCGTGTCTGTAATGATGTGACACCCGTGTCTGTAATGATGTAACACCTGTTTCTGTAATATTTTGACACCTGTGTCTGTAATGATATGACACCTTTGTCTGTAATGATGTGACACCTGTGTCTGTAATGATCTGACACCTTTGTTTGCAATGATCTGACACCTGTGTCGGTAATGATCTGACACCTGTGTCGGTAATGATGTAACACCTGTGTCTTTTATGATGTAACACCTGTGTCTGTAATGATTTCACACCTGTGTCTGTAATGTTGTGACACCTGTGTCTGTAATGATCTAACACCTGTGTCTGTAATGATCTGACACCTGTGTCGGTAATGTTGTGACGCCTGTGTCTGTAATGATCTGACACCTGTGTCTGTAATGATCTACCACCTGTGTCTGTAATGATCTGACACCTGTGTCTGTAATGATCTGACACCTGTGTCTGTAATGTGTCTGTAATGATCTGACACCCGTGTCTGTAATGATGTAACACCTGTGTCGGTAATATTGTGACGCCTGTGTCTGTAATGATCTGACACCTGTGTCTGTAATGATGTAACACCTGTGTCGGTAATGTTGTGACGCCTGTGTCGGTAATGATCTAACACCTGTGTCTGTAATGATCTGACACCCGTGTCTGTAATGATGTGACACCCGTGTCTGTAATGATGTGACACCTGTGTCTGTAATGATGTAACACCTGTGTCTGTAATGTTGTGACACCTGTGTCTGTAATGATCTGACACCTGTGTCTGTAATGATCTGACACCTGTGTCTGTAATGTGTCTGTAATGATGTAACACCCGTGTCTGTAATGTGTCTGTAATGATCTGACACCTGTGTCTGTAATGTGACTGTAATGATCTGACACCTGTGTCTGTAATGTGTCTGTAATGATCTGACGCCTGTGTCTGTAATGATCTGACACCTATGTCTGTAATGATGTGACACCTGTGTCAGTAATGATGTGACACCTGTGTCAGTAATGATCTGAAATGATCTGACATGAATCTGACACCTGTGTCTGTAATGATCTGACACCTGTGTCTGTAATGTGTCTGTAATGATCTGACACCTGTGTCTGTAATGTGTCTGTAATGATCTGACACCTGTGTCTGTAATGATCTGACACCCGTGTCTGTAATGTGTCTGTAATGATCTGACACCCATGTCTGTAATGGTGTAACACCTGTGTCTGTAATGATCTGACACCTGTGTCTGTAATTATCTGACACCTGTGTCTGTAATGTGACTGTAATGATCTGACACCTGTGTCAGTAATGTGACTGTAATGATCTGACGCCTGTGTCTGTAATGATCTGACACCTGTGTCTTTAATACACCTGTGTCTGTAATGATCTGACACCTATGTCTGTAATGATGTGACACCTGTGTCTGTAATGTGTCTGTAATGATGTGACACCTGTGTCAGTAATGATGTGACACCTGTGTCAGTAATGATCTGACACCTGTGTCTGTAATGTTGTGACACCTGTGTCTGTAATGATCTGACACCTGTGTCTGTAATGATGTGACACCTGTGTCTGTAATGATGTGACACCTGTGTCTGTAATGATGTGACACATGTGTCAGTAATGATCTGACACCTCTGTCTGTAATGTGTCTGTAATGATGTGACACCTGTGTCAGTAATGATGTGACACCTGTGTCTGTAATGTTTTGACACCTGTGTCTGTAATGATCTGACACCTGTGTCTGTAATGATGTGACACCTGTGTCAGTAATGATGTGACACCTGTGTCTGTAATGTTGTGACACCTGTGTCTGTAATGATCTGACACCTGTGTCTGTAATTTTCTGACACCTGTGTCTGTAATGATGTGACACCCGTGTCTGTAATGATGTGACACCTGTGTCAGTAATGAGCATGTGATAGATGTCTGGCTTTATTCAACATGCATTTAAATCTTCTTTAGTTCATTATTAACATTGTTTGAGTTGGTGTAAAGCGAGGAATAAAATTTTTACAATCTTTTCATTGGTTAATCTCATTAATTTTATTTACCATCAACGTTTTGAATTGAAATAAGAAAAGTTTCAAGTAAATATTGCAAAATGCAATATGGAACATACAAAATAGACTGTTGTAGATGTGGTAGCACTGTGGTAGAAGATGTTCAAGCAAATAAAAGTTAATGATGGACAAATGGACGGTTGGAGCAGGGACAGGCAATGTCTCATCATCATCCATTGTCAAAGTGTTTGATGAGCATGAAAAATTGAATGAATAAGACCAGTGGCACTGGAAAAGTAAGTCTCTTTTGTTTCATAAAAGTGACATGCCTGGTATGTATTCATACTGACAAACAGTATTTTTAACATCAGAAATACTGCTTTAAATCACTTACTCTTAAAAGTTTTTTTGTTAATAATGCAGCTTCAAATTTTCTGTCAATACCTTTGACTTAATACTTGTTGTTTCAAAATATTTTTATTCAAACCTTGAATATGCTGAAGTAATCTTAAGCTGGACAGTCACTTCTGCTTTAAACGATTTTACATTTTACAAGTTATCCTCCAGATGTGCTAGCTAGGTGGATCAGGCTGAACCAGGGGCTGGTCGACTCTCTCATCTGCCTGTTGTTGTCACAGTCTGTAGTACTAGATATCTAGGCAACTTCCTTATTCGTCCTTCTGCATCACTAAGGACATCGATGCCTACGTATCTTCCATCACCTTTTGTATAGCACTGTGTCTAAGGACCGCTCCATCTGTTTACTGTCCCAAAAATGGGTAATTCACAACCAATATGCATCTAGGACCTCTCAAGAAAGCAATAACAAGAATTGTTAACAAAAACACCATGAACATAGGACAGTTTGAAGATACACCAAGTAACAAAGGTCATTATTTATTTCAATGCTTCAGCCAGGATTCAAACCCAGAACCCTTGGCTTACTAGTCTGACACTCAACTAATTGAGCTAACGAGAAGTTATCTCTAGCAGAGCGGTATATTGATGCTAGTATTTACACACACAGGAAAAAAGTCCTGTATAACAAATATAACAAGTCAACACACATATAGAAGACATAGACATCTTTATTACGAGAAACAAAAGCTAAACCTTGACATCCCTGCTCAGTCACGATGACACCCTACCCAAATCTATAATATGTAAAATCACACATACACACCATGAATAAAACAAACCTTGTCTAAGTTAAAATGAATGGCCTTATTCTGGACCTCATTCACGAGTATTAAGCTTTTCCTGCATTTCAAACCAGAGAAGTATATACAGTCAAACCTGTCTATTCAAGGGAGTAGAGAAAAGTGGCTTTTATAAACAGGTGGTCTTTATACACAGGTGACCTTAAGACAGATATAGATCTGAATCAGGAAGTCAGATAACATGTTACTTGGGGTTTCCTAACTTTAGTGTTAATGACAGCTGTATACTCACTTAATAAAAACATTTTCTACCTGTCGTCACTGAATTTCACCATTATACATAAACCTCCAATGTTCTTTACTATAGCATAGTGCATTCAGTTGATTTCTGAAGCAGGTCTGCTCTTTTGATTTAACAGGTTTTTGGCCACACAAATCAAATTATCTTTTTCAATCATTTATCACATTTGGAGTGGGAGGGGTTATTTTTTTTTCAAAATTTCAATCATGTTCTTGTTTCATATCATCATTAGGGCTAGGTGAGCTAATAATTGAAAGGAAGATTGAACACACAGGTCCTACTTCAGTTGTTTGTATCAGTTGTCTCCCTTTCTAGCTTGATTTTGTCAGCGGTAAGTCATGATCATTAAATAAGTTTTAAAAACATTTAAACTTCATTAAACATCAATTAAATTACTCTAAAATTCTGCATTTAAACTCAATTATAAATAAGAGGTCAAAGGTAACCATGAAAACAGCTACAACCAACAACAATCCAGCAACTACGAACACAGCGACAACAAACAACGCTCCAGCAACCACGAACACAGTGACAACAAACAACGCTCCAGCGAATACGAATACACCGACAACAAACAATGCTCCAACAACTACGAACACAGCGACAACAAACAACACTTCAACAACTACGATCACACCGACAACAAACAACGCTCCAGCGACTACGATCACACCGACAACAAACAACATTCACACCGACAACAAACAACATTCCAGCGACTACGACCACAGTGACAACAAACAACGCTCCAGCGACTACGAACACAGCAGCAACAAACACTGCCACATGTAGAAACAAACCAACAACAAACAACGCTACAGCAACCACGAACACAGCAGCAACAAAGCCCCCACCACCATGAACACAGTGATAAAAAACCACGCTTCCACAACCACGAAAACAGCTACAACCAACAACAATCCAGCAACTACGAACACACCGACAACAAACAACGCTCCAGCGGCACTACAACAAACAACGCTCCACACGAACACAGAGACAACAAACAACGCAAACGAACGCTCCAGCGCATACTACAGCGAACAAACAGAGACAAACAACGCTCCAGCGACTACGATCACAGCGACAACAAACAATGCTCCAACAACTACGAACACAGCGACAACAAACAACGCTCCCACAAATACGATCACAGCGACAACAAACAAAGAACAAAGCCCCCACAACTACGAAAACAGAGACAACAAACAACGCTCCAGCAACTACGATCACAGTGACAACAAACAACGCTCCAGCAACTACGATCACAGCGACAACAAACAAAGCCCTCACAACTACGAAAACAGAGACAACAAACAACGCTCCGGCAACTACGAACACAGAGACAACAAACAACGCTCTAGCGACTACGATCACAGCGACAACAAACAACGCTCCGGCAACTACGGACACAGTGACAACAAACAAAGCCCCCACAACCACGAACACAGTGACAACAAACATCGCTCCGGCAACTACGGACACAGTGACAACCAACAACACTCCCACAAACATGAACACAGCGACAACAAACAACACTCCCACAACCACGAACACAGTGACAACAAACAACGCTCCAGCGACTACGAATACACCGACAACAAACAACACTTCAACAACTACGATCACACCGACAACAAACAACGCTCCAGCGACTACGATCACACAGACAACAAACAACATTGCAGCGACTACGACCACAGTGACAACAAACAATGCTCCAGCGACTACGAACACAGCAGCAACAAACAGTGCCACATGTAGAAACAAACCGACAACAAACAACGCTACAGCAACCACGAACACAGCAGCAACAAAACCCCACCACCATGAACACAGTGATAAAAAACCACGCTTCCACAACCACGAAAACAGCTACAACCAACAACAATCCGGCAACTACGATCACAGTGACAACAAACAACGCTCCAGCAACTACGATCACAGCGACAACAAACAAAGCCCTCACAACTACGAAAACAGAGACAACAAACAACGCTCCGATCACAGGACAACAAACAACGCTCCACAACTATCACAGCGACAACAAACAAACCACGAACACAGTCCACAACAAACAACAACACTACGAACACAGCGACAACAAACAACGCTCCCACAAACATGAACACATTGACAACAAACAACACTTCCACAACCACGAACACAGCGACAACAAACAACACTCCCACAACCACGAACACAGTGACAACAAACAATGCTCCAACAACTACGAACACAGCGACAACAAACAACGCTCCCACAAATACGATCACAGCAACAACAAACAAAGAACAAAGCCCCCACAACTACGAAAACAGAGACAACAAACAACGCTCCAGCAACTACGATCACAGCGACAACAAAGAATGTTTCATCAAGTATGGTTACACAAACGTTACCTGTGATGTCCTCAGTCAATATGGAAGTTCTATGTATATTTCCTCGTTATGCTTGTGTACATGTAACGGGATAGGTACATGTACAAGATGAAAATACCTATTGTTTTCGTTAAGTTTCTTTTTCTTCTTATTCTTCTTTTATTCGTCCGTATTTTGTGGAGTCTCTATCTTTAGAAGAGTGAAAGAAAGGTTGATGGTTTTGTTAGTATGTTTTTAATGAAGGTCTGAAGGTGTCACAGGAACATTTTCAAATAGGTCAAACATCCAATATGGCCGCCATGACGTCATAAACTAAAAACATTAAAACTGCTGTAACTTAAAAACCATTCAATGTGGAGAGTTTGTGCAATTATATTATATGTAGAGAATTTCCTTATCTAAATTTAACAATTTTTTTTCTTTTTTTTTTTTTTTCAATTTTGAATTTTCTTGAAATTTTCTTCTTCAGATCGATGCAGAACGTCCCTGCGATGAATTTAGAGTTTTCAGTTCTTCTGAAACGTTTACCATTTCCGCTGTACGCCATTTTGAAAATTTTCTTTGATCATTTAAAAATGCCGACAAATGGGAAAAACTCCTTCTAGATCAATATTGATGGGCTATATTTTATCAAATTGTTACTGAGAAGATTTCCCCAGATGTCTTCTACCATTTAGTGACATTTACAAATTCATCGGAAAAACAAAATGGCCGCCATGACGTCATTTCCTATTTTACCTAAAATGCCGTAACTCAAGAACTGTTTAAGCTAGTGACCTCACTTTTAATCATATTACGTAAATTAAAAAGAAAAGACTTTCCACAAGAAAAAAACTGGGATCAAAGGTCAACTTCCGGTTTCCGGTAGGGGTCAAAGTTCAAAAGTGTTATTTTCAATTACAAACTTCTTCTCAAGTTCTGCAAAGCCTTGTGTCTTGATATTTCAAGTGTAAGATGTCTGTTTAATTATATATCAAGTTTGTTAATATAAATGACCTTGACCCACTTTCAAGGCCACAGGGGTCAATTATGTAAAAATCGTTAAAGTCTTCAACTTTGGACATAAATATTCTGTGGACATTTCCTCAAAATTCAACTTCCGGTTTTGCGGTTTGGGGTCAAAGTTGAAAAGTGCTATTAAGGGTACCAAACTTCTTCTCAAGTTCTGAAAGGCCTAGAGGCTCTATCTTTCACATTTATGAAGCATATGTAACTGGCAACAAAGTTTGACAATATAAATGACCTTGACCCACTTTCAAGGCCACAGAGGTCAATTAACTAAGAATCATTAAATGACAGTTTCTCACTTTCTAGAAGGCACACAATGATGAAAATTGATTATAAACCTTCTGTGGACACTTGCTATTGATTGCCATAAGAAAAACTTCCAGTTTTCGGTAGGGCACAAATTTGGAAAGAGCTATTTAGGGTACCAATCTTTGAAAAACTTCTTCTCAAGTTCTGGAAGGCCTAGAGGCTTGATATTTCATATACAAGAAAGATATGTAACTGATAACAAAGTTTGATATTATAAATTACCTAGATTCACTTTCTAGGTCACAGGGGTCAATTATGTAAATATCGTTAAATGGTAATTTCTCAATTGTTAAGCTGCGCAAAGTATTTAAGTTTGGACATAAATATTCGGTGGATATTCTCTATCAACTGATACAAGAAAAACTTCCATCAAATTCAACTTCCGGTTTTCGGTAGGGAACAAAGTTGAAAAGTGCTATTTAGAGCACCAAATTTTGATAAATTTCTTCTCAAGTTCTGAAAGGCCTAGAGGCTCTATATTTCACATATAAGAAGCATATGTAACTGGCAACAAAGGTTGATAATATAAATGACCTTGACCCACTTTCAAGGCCACAATGTCAATTAACTAAAAATCGTTAAATGACAGTTTCTCAATTTCTAGTTTTATTTGTATTTGTTAGAATCCAAGGGAAACCGATCTATGAAATAAAGATCCATGCATTACTTCTCAAGAAATAACAAACTTTCATAGTCAAAATCAAAGATGGCCACCACTGACAGTCAGTTTGTTTTTCTGATTAGCCTCTTAAAAGCAGAACTATGGATAACGAGAAACATACACATGAAATTTGAGAACGATGTATGTCCACACAAAAAATTCAACAAACAATTAACATTTTCACAATTTTATTTTCATAAAACTTTTTTTTTTTTTACTGCGGCAGTTGTATTGCACATAAACAATATCATACAAGTACTGTTTTCTTAATATCAGATAGTTTCAGTATAATAATATATAAACTTTTATAAATGACTCTGGTATGATGATGATGTAAAATATTTACAAAAAAAAAATCTTATTCATGATTTTAAATAGAAAACAAAAATATGTCAGTAACTTGTCAACAAGAATATATATCTTACAATATCTGTTTATTTAATAAATATACAGATATCTGGTGATTTAGAAAATTGCTGATTTGTTAACACTATTATATGTAATTAATATCAGTATTTCTACACTATCTGAGGACAAACCACATCATTACCACTAGAGCACATTTAACCTTTGTTTTCTTCAACCAGAAACTTTCTACCACAAAATAAACAACATTACTATATTTTGGCAACTTTTATACTTTGCACATAATGTAGGTTTATATGTTAGATATGACATAGAACTTGTTAATTAAACTAATTATATCTGTCCTGTTATACACTGTTTACATACACACAGTAATACAATTAAACCTCATCTCAAACTTGTTGAATATCCTGGCCAAACTTCAAGCAAATCATTCAAACCCATTTACATTGAAATTTTGTCTAACTTGGAAGTTTTCCTGTGGTCCAGAGGTAACGTTAAACTGTTTATCAAATCAGTTGTGCTACATGTATATTACATTGTACAACTCTTCAATCAAACCTGTGTAAAATGGCCAATTAATGGAAGAGAGACAGTGGTCTTTCTAGACAGGTGGATTTCATGAAATAGTCATTACAACATCAAATACATACCACTTAAATCAAAGTGACCTCTATAGAAAGGTATGTGTTATGTATAACTAACCTTCTTTATAAACAGAAGTTAGTAATATACAGATGGTCTTCTAAACAATGGGTATTTTCATGTATATGTGACTTTTATAGACAGTCATTTTATATCAGAGTATCAATGTGGCCTTCATACACAGGTATTTGTTATATAGAAATGGCCTTTATAGACAGGTATTTGTTATATAGAAGTGGCCTTATAGACAGGAATTGTATACCAGAGTATCAATGTGACCTTCATACACAGGTATTTGTTATATAGAAGTGGCCTTCATACACAGGCATTTGTTATATAAAAATGGCCTTTATAGACAGGTATTTGTTATATAAAAATGGCCTTATAGACAGACAGGTATTTGTTATAAAGAAGTGGCCTTT